CTGACGTTTCGGGTAGTTGTGTCGTCCACCCATCTACCCGAAACTTCAGACATCTAATAAACGTCTCCCAGTGAACGTTTTTCCTTCTTCTGACTTACCATCTAAGAATCACATTTTCGTTTTCATTAGTGTAACGGGGCGTGGATTATCTCATGAAAAGTTAGATGAAATTATAAAAAAACGTTGATGTCAGATAGAAAGGATTGTTTAGTTGGGATTGTAATGTTGATTAGTTTGTAACATAATCACAAACATCGCATTCAAAAGCCGACATCCGGGGATTATACCGAATGAAAATAAACATTAACTCCCCGCATAAGCAATCGTCTCTAACTTATAGATATTTTTCAAATTTCAGCTGGCGTTCCATGGACCGCGCCCCTTACTGTATTATGTTCACATCTTCAAGGTTTTACTTATATTTCTTATCGCCTGCAGGTCCAAGTTCATGCGAAAATTCTCGTTCGACGACAACATAACGTTCTGCCTCGAACATTGGCCGGTTAAGGCTTATTCAGCCCGTCAGCAGTTAACGTACTGGTGACCGCGGGCAGCATAGAGGAATGTATTCGCAGACAAGGACTTACAAAATTGCATGCGCTATTAGCATTAAAATGCTATAATTTGGACTCTTCAGGCGAAGGCTTGAAAAAAAGATTTAACAAATGTAATGACACAAAAACGAGGTGCATAGCTGACCGTTGGAAACTTTTTATTGCGACTGTAATGTGTTGGGTGCTACATCCACTAATTGTGTTATTACTAACTATCAGAAATCTGGCTTCCGGCATATGTTCTAGCCAAATGGGTATTCAGAATTACAATTTTGAAATGTTGTTCTTATCAAAGTTAGGGAGGGGTTTTGGTTCCCGGGAGTATATCTGACGCACAACCCATGTTCTCCTATTTGCCGTACGGGAGCTGGACCAGGCTATTCACAAGTCTTGAATGAGACTTTTGAGCACATATCTCCCGCCGTACAGTTACGATCATCATACGCAGTCTGAAAATTAATTACGCACTAGGCGATGCATTTCCCGGTGGTATATCTTAAGAAATTATTTTGTTTCGAACTGGAGTTTCCTTGAAATTTCCTCACCGTTTGTAGCGGTAGACATTACTAATGAAAGCACAAAGAGGGCAATCTGTCAAATAGGCAGGGTTTGAAGTAAGTCAGTATGATACTCAGCATAGTACGACGAACATATTTAGAACTTCAATCAACACACATTTGTGTACAGTAACTGCTCTAATCTAAGGATTTTTACAAGAAATCCCCGTTACGCAAAAGCAGCCCAAGCTCTCTCCCCTAAATTCTTACAGCAGAAAAGGAACGATCCTTAGTAAAAAGAAGACGCATTTCGGTTTATAAAATAACATTACATTGTTTAGAAATACTAGCGTTTTTCAAAAAGCGGAAAATTCAGAGAACGTGAACATTCGGTGTTAGCAAGTAAACTTTAGTTTTAAACATAGAGAAAGTCTGTTCATGCAAAAACCGAGAGAATAAAGCAGCACAAGTAAAAGAATGTTTATAGATAGTAGGTGTGCGCTTCACCGATCAGTCGCGTCACCCGTTCGTCCTGTCCTGAGCTAGCCATACCTAACCCTAAGTGGTGCCTCACCCGAAGTTCGAACCCGCAAATTTGTTGGTTTAAAGTCCAACGTTCTAACTAATCAGCCACGGACTCGTTGCCTTGCCGGTTTTGATAGAGAATATTAAAACCGATCGGTTACGGGTCTCACTCTTGCCACTGCGCTTTGAGGCCCACACACAAACCCCGACAGCAGCCGCACAGCGGCTGGCGTTATAGGCAGATGAGCACTACTGTCAGACACAAGGGAGACCGGACTGAATAATGAGCCTCTCGTTCAATAAGAGGGCTCCATTTCTGACATTACAACACCTGGGTTTGGGTATGGCTGGCTGATGATGATGCTTAATAAACCCGAAGAGGCCATTCCAGTTTCCCTTGACTTTATTGGTAAGTATTCTGGTCTGTGCAGTGTCGTGCTTTCTTTATCTCTCTCTCATATCAAGGACCGGTGGAATGACTCACACAGGCTGACTAAGGTTGGGGTTAGATTGATGTCAGGTGGGTGTCACAAACAGAGTTGGTTGCTACCGATTATTGTCTTATGCAATGTTTGCACA